CTCTGGGCTAAACTCGGGGACTGGAACCCTCTCAGGGCTAAACTAGTGACGCTTTTCCACTGCATGGTACGACTCGGCTCGGCACGGCTCAGTACGGCACGACACGGTTCGGCCCGGCACGGTTTGCATTTCCACTGCAGTTCAGTATAGCAGTATAGTTCAGGAACAAAGACAGGGGTAACACAAGAAAAAACAAGTCCAAAACACTGACAAAAGGTGTACCTTTTTGAAAATATAGCACCGCAGTGACAGCTTTTGTACCTTTTTGAAAATATAGCACCGCAGTGACAGCTTTTGTACCTTTTTGAAAATATAGCACCGCAGTGACAGCTTTTGTACCTTTTTTTCTGAGAGTGTAATTTGGTCTACAGCAGGGGTCACCACACTCGGTCCTGGGGGGCCGCTGTCCTGCAGAGTTTAGCTCCAACTTGCCTCAAACGCCTGCCTTGAAGTTTCAAGTATACCAAACAAGACCTTGATTAGCTGGTTCAGGTGTGTTTGATTAGGGTCGGAGCTAAACTCTGCAGGACACCGGCCCTCCAGGACCGAGTGTGGTGACCCCTGGTCTACAGATTGAATGGGCTGTTGATGTATTTTACGCAGTTGTCAACTACAAACGAAAGTGCAGACTGTCTTGAAAAAACGTTTACATGGCTGGCGTAAATAGTCACATGATCAGGATTGTTTTCCCGCTTGGAAGATGACATGTAAAAAATTCAACAAAATATGTAGAACTTGTCAAAAGGCTTTTTTTTTTTACATTTACATTTAGTCATTTAGCAGACGCTTTTATCCAAATCGACTTACAAATGAGGACAATGGAAACAATCAAAATCAACAAATGAGCAATGACATGCAAGTGCTATAACAAGTCTCAGTTAGCTTAATGCAGTACACGTAGCAAGGTATTTTTAATTATATAATAAATAAAAAGAAAACGGATCGAATAGAAAAAGAATAGAGCAAGCTAATGTTAGAGGCCTTTTTTGCTTTTGTTAATTGTATAATAAATAAAAAGAAAACAAATAGATAGAATACAAAAAAAATTAGAGAAGCTAGTGTTAGTTTTTTTTTTTTTTAAGAAAACAAGCAGTTAGTAAATGAATAGAGTGCAAGTCTAAAAGGGGCAAGTTTTTTTAAGCATGGAATTAGAATAGAGAGTGCTAGTGTTAGGGTCAAATAAAGATGGAAGAGATGTGTTTTTGGATTGCTAAGATTGCCAATCTGTGTTTTTCAGATTGCTGTTCAAGAAATAATTTTTTTAATAATATTGCTCATTCATATGCTTGCACACTTGTACATATGTAAGTGGTACAACTGTGGAAAAAAACAGCAAAGCCTAATTTCTGAACACATACTGTAAGTGATTATAAAATCGCAGATTTCAAAGTACTGCTATATTAAGTGAAGGATAAGAAAGTACCGTAAAAACTAATAAATATATTGTGTTATTTAATGCATTTATTCATGGTGTATTCAGAAATCATTCTAAAATGCTAAATTGCTGTTCAAGAGCATTTATTATCAATGTTGAAAACCGTTATGCATCTTTGTATTTTTGTGGAAACTGTGATATACATTGTTTTCAGGATTCCTGATGAATAGAAAGTTCAAGATAGCAACATTTATTTATATAGAAATATTTTGTAACCTTATAGACGTCCTTGCTGATTAAAAGTATTAATTTATTAAAAAAAATAATCTTACTGACCTTAAAATTTGAACAGTAGTTTATGTCTATCTACAAGTGTAGTTTATTGGGAATAGAAGACTCCTATTGAAAATATAAAGCAAATCATGAATAGCACTTAATGTGAAGCAACAAACTTGAGTGTTTTCAAGTTCCAGTTGGATCTTATCGATCAACTGTGCAAATTTCAATTATGTAGCTATGCTGGTTACAATTATGACCAAAATTCAATCACATTTTAAAAACTTTTTTTTCATTGAGTGCTACACTTTTTTCACAAAGTGCTACAGCAGCACATGACCAGTAGAGAGAGCTACTACACCACTAACAGTCTGCAACATTCATGCCCCATGATGTCAGAGTACTTGATCCATACCCTCAAGAGTGCTGTCATGCTCAAGTCTTTTGAATAATCATCGCCTGGTCAGTGGCTAACAGGAATTCATGGCAAGAATGTGAGACAGTGTGTATTTGTGTGCATGTGCGTGTCCACTTGGATTCTTAACGGTATGAAAGGACTGCATAGAAACCCACACATAGGCTCTTTGAGGTCAGGAGCTGTTGACACAGAGCTGCTTTATATAAAACATACCCATAGAAATGATTTCCATGGTCAGCTCTCCAGTGTACCAAAATGTTGAAACACCTCGGCTCGCGGCGCAGAGCTCCGATAAGTAAAAACGCAGCTATTGATTCAGTGAAGTCAAACCAACATCCCGACGGCAGCCTAATTTCACTCAACTGGCAAAGCACCAGAGGGAAATCACTTCTGCTCAAGCAAGAAAATGAATGTATTAGGCAATTCAGATAAATATTCTTCCACAACTACGTGAAGTGTGAAAAGAGCCATCGGAGTAGTACGACCTTGACAAATGAAGAAAGAACAGGCATAATTAGGTTAGCATGTAACGGAAATCAAAGGCATAAGTCTGTGAAGTTCACCAGCTGGAGAGGAAACATTCAGTTTGATAGACAACCTTGTCTTTCCTAAAATAATTTCTTCCCTATACTGTTTCCTCCTAGCCTCGTTTGTGTTTCTTTAATGCATTATTATTCCTTGACTCAGCCTCTCAGTGAGTTTTTCCAGTCCCAGTTTTCTCCTTCTATATGTTTCTGTACTCTGTCTCTCTACTAAGGCGGTTTGTGTCTGCTGGCAGAGCTCGGCCTCCTCATGGGACCGTCCGTATATGAGTTGAAAAAGCACCAGCTCAGCAGATAGTCTATGTCCGCTTTAACCTTCAACTGAGATGGTCAAGCCACATGGCTGCTTTATATCACAGAGGAGACTGGAGGAGGGAGTGAATTGTATACACTTCATTTATTATTAATAGACCTGTCTGATATAAAATATTTGCAGTTTATTTGGATGGTGCATCTCTGATGTGATTGAGTTGTAAGGTGCAAACACTACAAAGTGTCCTCAATCACAACATGCGCTCTCAATCATGTTTTAAATCACAACACAACACTGAGTCTCCAAAAACAACAAAGTGTGATCAAACACAACAGCACATGCTGTCAGACACAGCATAACACTGGCCTCAAAACAACAACACAACAAAGTGCAACAAACGGTGTTGTTTCTGTGAGCATGTTGTGTTTAAGGACATTAAAGAACATCTAAGTTTAAGGACAGCTGTGTTTCATTGTGTTTGTGTGCCCACTGTTGTGTTTTGATGTGATTAAAAGCATGTTTTGTATTTGAGGGCACATTGTTACTTGTGTTGTGATTGAGGACCTTGCACTTTGTTGTGTTTGGTTTGAAGCCACAACGTTGGGTTGTGATTAAAGAGACATTGTGTTGTGTTACATGGCACATTGTGTTTTGTGTTTTAGGGCAAGTGATTTTTTATTTTATTTTTTTAGGAAGGTGTGTCGCTGGGTTGCGTTTAAAGGCCATTATGTATTATCAATGCCAAATTGTTGCTGTTGTTTTTGTTCTCTCTGAGAAAACTACACTACCGTTAAGAAGTTACTCCAGTCTTCAGTGCCACATGATCCTTCAGAAATCATTTCTTACATTTCTTATTACCAATGTTGAAAACATTTGTCGGAAACTATAATTTGTTTTCAGCATTCTTGATGAATAAAAAGTTCCAAAGAACAGCATTTATTTACATAGAAATATTTTGTAACCTTATAAATGTGTTTGCTGAATAAAAGTAACAATTTCTTGAAAAAAATCAATAAATAAATCTTACTGACCAAATGGTAGATTATGTTTATCTACAAGTTTAGTTTATTGAGATTTGAAGTCTCCTTCAGAGAAATCTGAATAGGCAAGTGCAAGTCACTGGCTGTGTTTTTATTCAGGTTTGAATAGCTTAAGCCCTGCTAAGAGGACACATAAATGAGTGAATATCAAGAGCACTGTAATGGTAACAGAGAGATAGAAGGAAAAGCAGCCAGAGGAACAAACAGTTACTTACTCTGTGCCACTCTCCACCATCTGTGTGAGCAGCGAGATGCCGTCGAGGTTGATGAACTCCTGAGCAAAGGTGATGTCTCGTGAAGAGTTGGCCAGATCCTTCAGAGCGTCCAGCTTCATGTCCATGCTGGACGACTGGATGCGCTCATGCAGCTGCTGGGCCATCTGTGCCTGTTACCATGGCCACAGAATAGGCGTGTAAATGAGAGTGTGACAGATTGTCATGTAGGAGGTCAGGACTTTTAGTCACACAACTCAAGGAAGAAGGCGAAACTGCACTTCTCTAAATTACTGCCTTGCTGAATCCACAATCATTCCCTCATTAGAAAGTATTAATCATGCCATTGTGTCAGTTAATGTTTTGTTTTTTTAATTTAATCATTTCAATGCAGATGACTAAATATAAACTATTCTCCAAGTTATACTCAAATTAATGAAAAGTTAGTTTATGTATTATACATTTCTGCATTTGCAGTGGCCCCAAAAAGTATTTGGATACTTAACACACTTATATGACAATAAAAGATGAAAGATTAGGTTTTCGTTCATATTTTGTACGAGTTTTTACTTAATATCTTCATTTTTACATACATATTTTTATTTTGGTTAATTTTTTGTCATTTGTATTTTTTTTTTTTAAATGTCTATATAGCATAATAAACAAAAAATAAAATATTAATAAAAACAATATGTTTTTTATTACTTTTTATTTAAGTTATTTTAATACATCAAGCTAAACTTAATGAAAAATGAAAAACGTTGCTTTAGCAACTACTAAACAAAATAAAAAAATAAAAATAAAAAACTTTAACTGAAATAAAATATAGATTTTTTTTAATGGTTTTAGTTTTATTCAATTGCAATCACTGTGTTAAGGGCACCTATATAGCATAATAAACAAAAAATAAAATATTAATAAAAACAATATGTTTTTTATTACTTTTTATTTAAGTTATTTTAATACATCAAGCTAAACTTAATGAAAAATTAAAAACGTTGCTTTAGCAACTACTAAACAAAATAAAAAAATAAAAATAAAAAACTTTAACTGAAATAAAATATAGATTTTTTTTAATGGTTTTAGTTTTATTCAATTGCAATCACTGTGTTAAGGGCAATGCAGAAGTGGCATTAAAATTAGTTTTCAGTGATCAGGGATAATCTTTTCTGACCACATTCGACAAGACTTACATTATTTTAAATGATCTGATTTAAATGACAAACATTTTAAAAAAGCATAATTTGTTTACAGATAACAACTGCATTATATGCAAAATATCAAACCAATGACATTAATTAATGGAGTGACTTAAAATTCCAAATACTTTTTGTAACAACTGTAATCTGATTTCCATCTCTCTTCTCTTCAAACTAAACTTGCTTTGATCACCTTAAAAAAGCACTTTGACTGCACTAAATGTAACTGAACACAGCATTATAAATATATGCTTCATCATGAACACTACAGAATTGCTTTCTTCTGTGAAACCTATTGAAACTGTACCGAGCACTGATGAATGTTAAATATCAGTGGCGGCTGGTGCAGAACATCACAGGAAGAGAAACAGTCATTGTTGTCATTATGCTAGAGGGGACGGTTTCAAATGTCACAGACATCAGCTTTAAATATCATCATTCCCAAGCCGCATATTCAGATGGGTCATATGAACAGCAGTTTCTGAATGAAATATTCATTTTAATATAATGCGGCTTCAAAACGACAATAAATTTTTATAACAAAGAGCCAATCCGTAACCGGCAGAGAGAAAATAATGACAGCTGGGCACATTTACGCCTTCACAGGTCACGCAAGAATGTTTCTCAGCTGCTGACACTTTAGGAAGCTTTGGTAATGTAACCTATCACCCCTCACATCTGAAGGATTACAGGCCCCAGCTGGACGGGGCAGGGCTTCAGAGGATAAAAGCAGGTCCCACCTGCTGATAAAACCTTTAAGAGTTTCCAAAAATACATATATAAACTCAAATGTGCTACTCACAGCTGACGTAGTAAGCCGCAGAATGGAGCCGTTTTTGATGTTGTTGCGATTCTGTGAAAAAAAAAAGAGAGAGGAAAAGAGGCATTGTTATGCACTGGTATGAGGCATTTTTTTAATTATTGAACTTAGCAATACAGCTTCTTTTTCAGATTTTGCATTTAACCTTTTCAGTGATGTAGAAGTTGGTTGAGTCAGCATTCTGCAGGGCAAAGGTTTCAGGGTTTGGCAAGTTCCACCTAACGAGAGAAAATTCAGACAATCATCAGAGATACGGAGATGTGTGTTGCTGTGTAACAAAAACAGCATGGGTGAAAAAAGTGATGGGGTAAATTTCTTGGAATCAACAGCTGAAATAATTTTTAGAGATTCTTATATTAGAATAAAGGTTAACGATAACAACATTCTTTTGAAACAACAACAACAATGCTCATGGTAATCAATGGTAATATCCTAAACTGTAAAAAAAATAATAAATACAAAAGAAAAGAAACAAAATAGTTTTGACAGAACAAAAACCATTATAAAATGGTAATCCTCACATTCAAACTAATAAATGACCATTTATATTATATATAATTAGTCTGAACAAAATGGTGGTACTTATGGAACAGCAGAAATACAGTGGCTACCCCTGTAAACAAAGCAGTGCTGTACTTACAAACATTACTTAATTATCAGACTGAGGTAAAATTAGGGGTGGCGATATACCGGTAGACATGATTAAACGGTAGAAATTTGTCAAAATGGTAGAGATTTTGGACTACAGAGCTCCAGAGGTTGACGTCACGCACTCTAAACTCCACCATTTTGGCAGGCAGTCAGGAGAGAGCTAGAGCATTGGTATCGACAGTTGTACAACAATGATTTAAAACCAGACTATTTAGACCTTACAAACCTTACTATTTCAACATGGTGGACAGCTACTGTGCGCCAGGATGCCAGAACAGGCAGGGGAAAGCTAGGGTTGCCAACCGTCATATATATTAGCCGGGACGTCCCGTATATTGGGTTTAATTTACGTGTCCCGTACGTGACCTCCCTTGGCCCGTTTCTTGCCCCCTCACACAGTATTCGTTAAGTAAGTCAGAAAATCCTGAACATAACTGTTTGAGAAAGGCTGCAGAATCCTCTGCTGGCTGATCGCTCCCGCTTTACCATTAAGCGGCGCTCACGCTAACACCAATCCCATCCGTGTTTTCACTTCGGTAAATCAGTTTTGGCAAATACAAACTACGAGATTATTTTTCATGAGTCCAACATCCCGCCATGCAAGAAAACATGCAATCTACCCGAGACGTGATCAATAAGGGAAGCCGTCTTTTATTGCAAAATAGAGAAAAAACATTTTGAATTTAAGTAAGCTTCTCAACCTTGTGGTCTATCTTATTCGTAAAACACACAAAATGACCAATAAAAAAAAAGTGTCAAGCACCAAAAGCAGCCCATATATATATATATATATATATATATATATATATATAGTGTGGACAGAAAAATTTCATACCCACTCAGGGAAGCTGTCTTTTATTGCAAAATAGAGAAATAACTATTTACATTTAAGTAAAATGAAAGCTTCTTAACCTTGTAGTCTTATTCTCTTACTCTTATTCGTAAAACACACAAAATGACCAATAAAAAAAGTGTCAAGCACCAAAAGCAGCCCATCTTAGATCTATAACTTATCTTTAATTCAAAAATACACATTTTCATATATATAATACGCCAATGTCGCAATTTTCACAATGTCGTATTTTTATATATATATATATATATATATATATATGCGATTGTCCCATAAAGCAAAGGGGAAATAATTTTATCATATTCCTAAGGATCCCGATAGACGACTAAAATGGTTCACTGCAATAAAACATGATAACCAACACAACATTTGGGATTAAACGGGTAAGATTTCATGACATTTATGATGTCTACTGTATTCACAGTGATGTAGCTATGCTGGCTACCTACAAGGACAGCTAGAGTCGATTACGTTAGCTAACAACACAGTTGATTTACCCTTCCAGTGACGACATAGCAGGTTGAATATTCATTAAAAAATTAGATTGCCTCCATTTGTACCCCTCCAGGCTTTTGTATGCTTTTAAAGAGTCTCCGGAGTAACGTTAGGAGGGAAAGTTGATGAGGTAGTTGTATATATCAGGATACTGCAGGTCAGGAAACCTATCCATTCCTTTATTGATAGGCTACACGTTAAAAGCACCACGGGGGCATTATAGGGATCTGTTATGCTTAATCTATTAAGTTATGTACAGGTCTATGTCTTTTGAATTAAAGTAAGCAGTGAACTCTGTTGCCTTGAAACTCATGCTGGCGCCATTCATTTCATATTCGCTCCCGGCTGTCCCTGCCTGCCAGCATGGTGGTGTAAACAGAATGGGTCACGTGATGTCCGGAGCTCTATTGTCTCTATCTCAGTTACATGCTCAGCGTGACGTTGCTGTGGTACATGGTCACAAAAACCTATCGCTTGCATGTGTTTTTAAGAATTGTGGTTTAAAAACAAGTGATTTTAAGCCGTTGAAACGCAATCAGCAGCGAAAGATCAGAGAAAGCAATCAGAGGCGCATGTGAAGACAGTGCTCAGAGTGCGGGATTATTGAACAGTTATTTTATAGGCCTTGAACAATTAAAATCAAACACTTGTATGTGTCAAAACACATGTGTAACAGTATATTGGATCAGGGCAGCTCTTAAAGTGACAGCAGTCTAATATTCCTGCTGTCTGTAATTCATGTTAATCATACAACAAAAGAGAAAATCTCTCACTGCTCTTGACTAAATCACTTTTTTAACTTTAATAAAAATAAATGTCCATCAAATATACATTCATTATATACATACATACATACATACATTCATATAACACCCCTCACCTCCCCACCAATTTAATGTCAGAATGGCAAATTTCATTGAAAGGTGATGAGTTTGCAGGTGTGAATGCATATTAAAAAATGTTTGTGAATGTAAATGTTTGTTACTTACCCCTCACATACTTCTTTAATGATGGCTGAGAGAGGCTTTTTCTGTGGAAAACAAAACAAAACATTAACAAAAAAAGTTTTTCTTCAAGTCTTGGAAGTTGGAACTCATATATCTTATTTCTTTACAACTAATAAACACTCTTCATACCCAATAGTACTGCTGCATTGACATTAGCCTGTACAACTTTTGATCAAACGTTTGGTTGAGTCAAGTAAATAGCAACAAAGAACGAATAAAGAATTTCAGAATAAGGACAAATGATGAATAAAGAACTTCAGGGTGATTTATGCAAGGTTTGTCTTTGTTTTAATAGCACATCGTCTTCATCAGTCAGACACTCACTGCAGGGCCTTCTCCCTCAAATTTTAAAGGAATAGTTCAGCCAAAGAGGAAAATCAAATCATTATTTATTCACCATGTTTTTCCAAACCCACATTACTTATTCTTCTGTGAAGCACTAGTTATTAAAGGACTGAGGGGTCTTTTTTGGTGTTGCGTTTTTTAGATATCAACAGCTGTGCTCAAGAAAATGTCCTTTTATGTCAAGAAAGGGTTTTAAACAACATGAAGCTTAGTAAATAATGACAGAATGTACATTTTTGGGAGAAAAAGCAAATATGCACTATTGTAAGATACATATACATGAATGTAAATGCATATACAGAAGATAAAATCAGCCATAGGCACTGACCTGGTCAATCTCCATAAGTTTGGGAAAGGCCCCGGGCCACTCGATGGCCACCTTCACAATGTCTGCTGGGGGCGGCATGGCTGCGCTGATGGAGGATGTGGCCGCTCACTGCTGCCTGGCTCTCATCCAAGCCTGTAGAGGGAGACAGAGGGAGAAATCTAGGGTTATACTATGCATACTAATTTATTAAACACGTCTCTTTTACCAAATAAATGAATAGTATAAGCAGGGATGTCAAAAATACCAGTACTTTGGTAATAAGTCAAAGCTAGACTGTCACAGTTCCAGTATTTCAAAGTACCGGTAGTACAGATTTCAATTAAATACCAGAGTGCTGCTGTTGATTTGATCTATATGCTCTATGGTTATCTTTCTTACTATCCACCGCCTTGTTATCTGTAACAACAACAACTGAGTGAACATAAAATATTTGGTTCAAAAGCATGTTTGACCTTGAGGTCAGAACAGAGAGCTCTTTCTGTCACTAGATAATTTGCTGCTAATGTGCAAGAGCTGACACTAAGGAATTATTCTGGAAAACCTTGAAAATGTTTTTCAGGAATGCAAGGCTTTGACTGATGCTGTGTCACTGTGAGAGATTCACTCTGAACAAGAACATTCCTCCTTTGTGACATCTGATACTGGGGCATTTTAATTACTGCAGTAAGATCTACACACTTGTGTGTCTTTTAAACACTTCTTTATTCATGTCTGAACTTTGCTTATAAACTAAAGCTACTGAGATCAACTGCCATCAGACAAGAATATATAGCACCTATATTCAGCTCAATGTGCTTTAAAGATTAAAATGATTTGCCTAAATCTACAAGCTACAACTAAAGTTTGCTTTGTCAAGGTTACAAGTTTCTTCAAAATCAACAGTGTTGTTCTATATAATCACAAATTGTGCCAAGTTGCTGAGTACTGAGCAGTCATGGGATATGCAAACACAGGATGTCATATATTAATGTGCTAATGGTTGTGCATTTTTGCTGTTTAGTTTATATAAATAGTCTTGGTGGATTGCTGACTGCAGCTTTGTATTGTGATACAATTCAGAACACTGAACTCTTTATTTCAAAAGAGCAAGGGAAATGTTCTTTTCTACTGGCTGAAATTAAATGGACTATTTTCTTTTAGCCCACTTAAAACAACAATAAAGAGCAGCAGAGCAAATGAGCAAATGTCTCTTTCTAAAGCACATTAACAAATAAAGTCATTTTGCACTATAAATATAGCTTTTTTTAGTCAAACTAACAGAAGTTAATTCCAGCTCAGTTTTCTTTAAGTATCTGGCTTGCAATATTTAATCAATTATAATAATTATTATTAATAATAATAATACTTTTTAAATTGTTACATTTTAAAGATGAACTGTCTTAAGTCTCATAAAATGTACAATACAATAAAAAAGAAAATCCTCTCCAAGAAAAGTTTAGGTGAGCCGATAAAGAGAAAGTGACATCCGTTAAATCCCTGTGTAAATTATTTAGCACTCGTGTCACTCGGGAAACTGCGGATCATCTTTGGTCCTTGTGGATAAACCCTGTTACATATTTAATCCCCCATTCCATAATGCATGGGGATGATTCTTGGAGAGAAAACAAGAACACACACAGCCTGTGAAACAAGCATTCATTCAACCCATTCAAACAAGCTGCCATGTCACTCTGCCATGACTCATCCCATAATAATCTCCACAGACACTACCCAGGCCCTGTTGCTATGGCATCTGCACCATCAGAAGTTGCATCTTTCGAGGGTGGTTCTCTTGGAAATGTCTCATTCCTCATAAGAAGTTTCCCCATTGCAGATGGCATGATTTCAAGCTGACAGAAGTCAATAAATCTCAGTACCAGGATTTATGTAAAGCTCTCAGCTGTCGTTCAAATGGACAGAATAGCTGCACATAGTTGTATTTTGTGATTTGAGATACTGTAAACATAAATTAAGAGAAAGAGGAGTTAATTTTAAATGTAATTTAAATGGCAACTATTTATTTATTTTACAGAGGAGCACAAAATACCCTTTACTGCTCACTGGCAGTATCTGATCTATTACAAGAGAAATGATACATATTGGTAAACAGTGTCTTTCAAACATGTTTATTCATGTTTAATTCTTACTGTAATTAGTAAAGAGGAAGAGATGATCGGTTCACATGCTGCTTGAACTGAGGTGGTTACAGCCTACAGCCACATTAAAGAGAGCCAAAACCACATGTATTGTTTGCATTTCATGATAAATTAACTGCATTTGAACTTTGCTGGGACTTTTTTATATATTAAAAGTAACAAAGCACAAGGCTTATTGATATTATTGAATGGCAGGAGCACTACAAGTATACAGTGTCTTTCAAACATGTTTATTCATGTTTAATTCTTACTGTAATTAGTAAAGAGGAAGAGATGATCGGTTCACATGCCGCTTGAACTGAGGTGGTTACAGCCTACAGCCACATTAAAGAGAGCCAAAACCACATGTATTGTTTGCATTTCATGATAAATTAACTGCATTTGAACTTTGCTGGGACTTTTTTATATATTAAAAGTAACAAAGCACAAGGCTTATTGATATTATTGAATGGCAGGAGCACTACAAGTAATGTATAGTGAAGTTCACGCATCAACAAAGGTTGATTTTGACATTCAAGAAGCCATATTACTATTGATTAAAAATTAAAAATCATTATTGCTAATCCAGAACTAGCATTCACACAGCTGACATGTTTACCTGTGGTAGTTTATCCATGTTGTATCCACAAAAATTAATTAAACTAATTAACCGTCACTGTTTCAGTCAATGATTTCGGCCCTCCAAAACTATTTAGGCTAAAACTGAAAATTACTGTTTTGAACATTTCGGTCTATAACTCATTTGCATAGTGCATAAACATTAGCGCAAACATTTAATTAAACTTTTGCTTTATTTTTATCAACATTTTTCATGCTTTTGGCTTTAATGTGGCTGTGTGTAGAGGATTTACTTAAACACATGTATGTAGGGCTGCACGATTAATCGAATGCGATTGTCATGCGCATTTCGATAGTAATGCCGGTTCTGTAATCAGCAGGAAATCATCATCACGTGCTTTCAGATGGAGCAGAATTTACTACACATAGCCGTAGTTCCCTGACAAGTTACGCAAAAAAAAGAAATCGAAGAAATCGTTTGCGATAATGTCAGCTGTTTGCGTAGCTTCTCAGTGAACTAAGGCTCTGTGAAGTAAATGCTGCTCCATCTGAAAGCATGTGAAAATACCACATTTAATAACATATTTTTACTCCAAAATCACTTCATAACGTCAGTCGAGTGTTTGAAATAAATCCTTCTGTGAGATGATGTGGCTTCTTACACAGAATAAGGCACGCAACATATTTCATAGTATTTAAGCGATCATAAAGGCATTGCATTATAAATATACTTTATTTTAATGAAAATTATAATAATAAGAACTCAGATAAACCGTATATTGCCGTGGTCGTGTGTTTATTAGTCACGTTGAATCAATGAAAGCAGTTGAATCTTCTGTTTATTCAGCTGCAGCGATGGGGTTCTGGGTTTTTTCTGCGAGGCGTATTTGGAGTTTCAGCGCAAGAGTGCCCTCTGGCCTTTGGATGGAGATTTACTGCTGATCACAGAACCGTGCTTCACTGAAAGATACGTATGACAATCGCAATCTCGATTCCATTTCGATTTATCGTGCAGCCCTACATGTATGGTCATGAAAGTGTTTCAAGACTGAGGATCTCTCCATTTAATTTTTTTCTTTTAATATGTAAGCATTCTACTTATTTTTTCTAGGTTTCACAGGTTTGGCTGCACTACAAGAGAATAAAACGCATGCACAAAGCTATTACAACATTCAAGAGGTTTTATTCCACTGCATGTTGACATAACAGTAGAGCATGAAATGCTGGATATGTGGATACAACCACAAAGCAGTGGGACACAAGCAACAACCATGTAAGGTGCTTTCACCAAACCAAGTCTATTAAAGCATTTTTTTTTTCCACTAAAGCATTCATGTCTTGTCCATCAAAAAGTTCCACAAAACAAAAGACGAATTAAAAGTGAAACAAATTAGCATTTTTAATAGACATGGTTTCTTAAACCTACTCAATAATGCTGTTGAAAGGAACTGAGAAGAAAACAGACTGACAGACAGGGTTTGATTTCTTCAGAGGGCTTAATAGTGCGGTCATTAAAACAGGCAGGCCTAGAGATGTCTCTGTCTCTCTGATGGGGGCAGGGACACACACAGCATCGCCTGCTCTTCCATTCAATCTCTTCTGTAAAACCCACTGAATTAATCAATCCCTCTGACCTATGGCCTTGTCCACCACCAGTTTCCCAAAACATTCAGCCTTCACTGTGAGAAAAAATAAAGCCGAGGAACTATACAACTATACTATACTCTCATTACCATACTGCACATTAATATAACAGTTTCTTAGACAAAACATGGTATTACCATTGTATACAAGACTAGGGATGCACCGATATGAAAATTTTGGCCGATACCGATAACCGATAATCCTTTATTTTTGAAAGCCGATAACCGATATGTTGGCCGATATATCGTGCATCCCTATACAAGACTTATACCATGGTATTATCAAGTTTGAGGACATGTACTATGGCAATACCATGTTTTTGGGCACATACCATGACAATACCATGTTATTGTCATGTTTTAGGTTATGTACAATTGCAATACCATGGTTTAGGACACAGTACGAAGACACAATGATTATGTCATGTTTTTGGAAATATACCATTGTAATACCATGTTTTATGACATGTACCATGGTATTCCCATTTTTAAGGTCATATACAATTGCATTACCATGTTTTGGGACATGTAGCAAAGTGTCATGTTCTGAGGACCATGGCAATACCATGGTTTTTGCCAAGGTATTCTTTGAAGTACCATGGGATACCTTGTAAACAATAAGATACATATTGAATATTATATGAATTAATATGATGAATATTGAATAATTGATGTATATTATAATAATTTAGCATTATAGTACAACAGTATCAAAATAGCATGGTATCGACATCAGATACTATCAATGCGCCATGAGACAGTCACGGTACTTTTTAATAAGAGACAAATTATAGCAATAACAATAACTGCAGTAATTGCAGGCCACTCAGAAGCATAACTACAAACCAATCAGCCAACTCATTTCATTAGTATTACTCAGAAATGATGTAAACTGCACTGTAAAATGATCCGTAATGTAACATATAACCCACAAGAAAACTTACACGGGTACATGATCAAACTAAAAGCCTATTCATCCTTGCAGTCAAACAGAGACTACCTTTATTAGATGCTGAACATCATGGACAGTACAGCATGTGGTTGTCAGAGTGACAGTCCCAGTGCGGTTTAAATGTTTAGACTTCACTCCCGCAGAGAGCACAACACCACCAAGCCGAAGAGCTGCAGTCCGTCAGTTGTGAGAAGAAAGTGAAAGAATGCTCAGCAGTTCACACTCTCACCAGGTTTCGCTTCCCTGGATTGCCCATGTCCAGTATAGATTTCAAAAGAGCCCTCCAGTGATTCATCTGACACCTCTACAAAGCGCCCCAGAGCACAGAGGGCCCACACCGGCAGGGGCTACAAAGGAGCAACAAGCTTTATCTGCACTGAGAAACAAAGACACGCGAGACAGCTACTGAGTTATTGCTACTCACTTTCTTTGTCTGACCGACGCCAGTCGGCTCTCATTTCTACCCTGCAGGTCTGACCAGTACCTTGTTCCTACAAACCCTTCTAGAGAGAGAGAACTGTGGGTCCTGTTTTGAGACACGCATACATAGTCAATATCTGGTGGATTTCCCTCGGTTGCTATAGTAATGATTTATACGTCAGAATGATGCCAAGAGACATTTTCATATGACAACTGAGTGTAGCTGTCAGTGTGGAAGAAGAGGAGGTGAAATTGGAGATTGGGACTGTGCTCACGTCTATCATGACATCTTGCCTCGGTGCTGAACAGAGCATGTGAGCGGAGCGGAGCGTGAGCGGAGTGGTAATATTTCCTTAAGAGCGCAGAAGACAATACTGCACACTTTGCATGTTACACAAGGGTCAAATCAAAATATTATTTTAGATACTTTAATAATAATAATAATAATAATAACAACAATAATAATTAAAAAATTAAATTAAATATCACTTTAATGATAATAAATATTAATAACTAAGACTAATCACTTAATAATAATAATAAAATATTTATGTTAATTAATATAGCATTAATAATGGAATTATAAAAATAACAATATAAAAGAATAGTTATTTTAAATATTTTATTTATATCAATAATAACAATAAACTAATAATAATAGTAATTATTATTATTAGTTTATTATATTGATGATAATAAATATTAATAAGTAAACAGAATGAACTATTAATAATAACAAAATATTTATGTTTATAACATTAATAACATAAGAATAACAATAGTATAAAAGAATAGTTATTTTAAATATGTTAGTTATATCAATAATGATAATAAACTAAATAATAATAATAATTAATTATTATCATTATTATTAGTTTATTATATTAATGATAATAAATATGAATGACTAAACAAAGAATAAACTATTAATAATAATAATAATAAAATATTTATGTTCATTATAGCATTAATAAAATAAGAGTAACTAACAAAATAATCGTTATTTTAAATATTTTAGTAATATCAATAATGATAAACTAATAATAATAATAATAATAATAATAAGGATAATAAATATTAATGACTAAAAGAATAAACTATTATTAATAATAATAATAATTAAATATTTATGTTTATTATAGCATTAATAAAATAAGAGTAACAATAACAGAAAATAATAGTTATTTTAAATATTTTAGTTATATCAATAATGATAAACTACTACTAATAATAATACTAATTAGTAGTAGTAGTAGTAGTGGTGGTGGTGGTGTTGTTGTTACAAATAAACAAAAAATGAATAAAGATTAGCAAAAATGAATAATAAACGTTTGTATTAGTAATTACTGGACTTCATGTTTTTTGTTGTTAATACTACAGAAAAGTATTTTTTGAGTGAGTCTTTTTTTTTTTTGTCTGTCTGTCTAAATGCTTTAGAGAGGGATTTGTAAAATAGAAGAATAGTAAAGTGTGAAGAGGACATCTTTTTTACACTACCATTACAAACTGTACTGCAGTACTACTGTAGAGTGAAGGTATCATGTAGTAACTTTCTGTACTTTGACATATTCCATGATACTGAATGATTACAATATTCCGATTCCAAAATCAAATGTACAAAAGAAGTTTTAAACAAGATGGCATTACCTTGTTTTTTAGTGTAATCTCTGTTTGGGAAACAGTGAGAGCTGAACATCAGCAAAGAATGTACACCAGACATTTTAACTTACAATCAAACAAACTCTCCTCTCCTTCTCACTAACAGTAAGCTGTTAAAAAAAGACATTCAATTCCTTTGAAATGTTTATAGTTCACAAAAACTAACAGTGAAGACAGTCAAGCGATTCTGTGCTCATTCTTTCAGGTGCTGCAGCGGATGCCTAGCGTCAAAAACAAGCCCTCTATTTCTCATAGAGTAACCAGGATATCCTGTCAAATTACTCACACAGCTAAGCAGCAGTTTCCACATCTCCAGCTCCTCGCATTTGCATCTCACTAGTACCCAAGAAGGAAACTGCACCTTCTAGTAAAAAAGATCCTATTAAAAGAATACTGATAAAAGTTACAATGTTAAAACAAGCATCCACCCACAAACAAACTGAATAAAATATGCATCTATTTAGTAAGCACAGCACAGTACAGCGTGGAAATGTCACTCAACAGGTGCACAGTCAAAAACATTGCAGATGAAATCTAAATTCCATATCATTTCAAAGTACATTCAAGTGTCTAGGTCAATACAGATGATCTTGCCTGCTCAACTGAGAGACCTCAAAGACGCAAACAGACCGAACGAAAACTTTCAGCAATGTATTTAGGTTTATGAAATGAAAAATGCAGCCTGGTTCACAGATAGATCTGTAGTGATATGTTACGGGTCGCAGAGTTGACCCCAGGGGCCAAAGCCACACCCTGAGCGGCCCGGACTCATCCACAAGCATAAAGAAACTTACCCGGAAACCTCCTCAACTAGCACCCGCTCGAACAAGTTGAAGTTCCTGCTCTTTAAGCCTCAGCAGTGTGTTGTTTCCCCACTGAGAATCATCATCAACAAAAGACTTCAAAATCAAGACTATACCCGTATTTATCACACAACTTCACATGAACCTCGTCTTAACCAGCGAGAAAGACAGAGAGATAAAGAAAGAGTTGAAAGAGGTGGAGGAAGTAGGCGTTCATCACGAGAAGAGGAAACTGCTGGGCCACAGTTACACGAAAACGCGGCAAATTTCAAAGACTCAACGCAACAGAAGACATGAGTAGGAAACAGACCCATGGGCTCCTTGCTCGGCTTATCAGAGCGTGTCGAACAATAACAGGAAATATGGAGACGCACTGATCACTTGAGATAAAGCGATGATTCGGTGCATGTATTTAGAAGACATGTGTGGTGATTAGGTCACAGGAACCTTTCAAGCCATCTGTACAAGAAAAAAAGAAATTCGTAAAGTTGTTACATAAAGTTTATGAAACTGATTTTATGATTATTAAGATTTTTTTTACAGTAACAAACAAATTTCCTTTATGAATTTTCACTGCTGTAATGTAAAGAATTTGTGACAAATCCCTTTAATACAGTAATGACAACAATCCTAAGCCATCCCACAAACATTTTTTTTTCAATAAAATCACTATATATTCAACTCAGTACACCAAACCATAATTTATAAATACTGTATCTACTAATTTAAAAAAAAAGTTCTGCATTACAGTAGTAAACAAAAATCTGGTCCTAAAAAAAAGAAAATAGTTCTAAAAATAGGTTTTATTTTTAGACGCAAAAAATAACCGAAATTAAATATAAAATCAAAATCAAATGTGAATGTGAAATCATTTTCATCAGATTCATCTTAAAACTAATCCTAAAGCCAAAGTCAGAAAGGTTTCAGTAACTTTAAGATGTCACAAAACACAACACACAATACAACACCACCACACACCACAAAAAACAGAGGGTCCTGCAAGTCTGTCTTACAAATAAGGTGATCCTTAGTCATACCTATATGAAACAATAATGTGCTCCATTTCACACTCAGCTGGGCCTTTTATAAACACTCCTTTGTCTTGATTAGTACAAATAAACATGAATGCAGTCCCCTTCAGTGTAAAAACTTTGTCTTTTAAATAATTCCTTCGATTTCTCAAAAAAGTTGCACTTCCGCTGCAAAACATGTGCGGCCCACATAAACAAAGTTGACACTAGACTGACACTGACTCGCAGTGCCATGGTAACAAAATTTAAAAAACAACCCATGAAGCGGAAAAATAACATTATTGCTATGACATTCCCGGCAACTGATGCCTGGTGCAACACACAAATAGCACTAATGATCAGTGCGCTAATTGTCACAAGGGCACATTTTAAAGGATGAAAAAAGGAAACGAGCACAAGAGCTGCTGATTACAGCATGGGCCTGCCACTCTCATTTCCCATATCTGCCCAACCTCTCACAGTTTTGAGGAGCAGGCTTGGATGTTTCTGATGCAACAGAAGCAGCTGGGTGGCAAACTCAAGAGCTGCTAATAGGCCTGGGCGATAAAACTCCATCTATAATGATAGAAAAAAAATGTTCGATATAGCGCACGATATAGGCACGTGCTATGGGTGACGCAGACAGCACACACAAACACGAACATGAGTGCTGTGCCTGCCTGTGATGAGGAGATTGTGAATAAAAATTTTTTATATTAGTTGAATTTAAAATAAATAAAAAAAATTGCATTTGAATGCAAAAATGGTGCAGTCGAATGTTAGGTGTGCGTCAGGGAGCGTCATCACAGTGGTGCGCAAGATGTGGTGATAATGATGTAAGTGACATTGTTGCATTTTAATGTTTTGTTTGTCTATCCCACGAGACGCGCAGTTGCTGCGTTATTCATTCAAAATATTAGAGAAATATAGTAGGTCAATGCTTAGATCTTGATTAGGTTAAAACCGAAACCAAGCCATTCACACATAATGCATATTCAGCGCATTTTTTTTAGATGGACATAAACGACTGCTGAACTCACCTCACAAAAGAGATACCGAACGATATGAAACATTATATCGTTGATCAATTTTTTTAGCAATATAGCCCAGCCCTAGCTGCTAACATCTCGTTACCCATTAAAGGTTCAGGGGGATGATGGCTAAATTGGCTCATGTCAGTGAATTATAAGGAGCATATGTTGGTTCCACCCATTGCGGGCTCCTAGGGGCCGGCCGGCCCTGCTCTCACAGCTGTTGAGGTGGCTCTGGTTCCCTCGAGCTATGAATAGAGATCAGTGGAGAGCTGGTCAATGAAAAATGTTGGGTCTGGCCTAGATTCATGTGTGGTCGGGTACATCAAACCAGTGCTGTTTAGACTGACTGGTAAAATTGGTCAAGGTCTTTGAGACCAGCTAGAGAGAAAAAGACACAAATGAGGAGAAAGAAAGAGATCCACACATTTTTCCAGAAAATTAGCACATCTAAAATTAAACAGTGACCATCTTTTGGGGCCTTTACTGTGATAAATGAATGGCAGCTTCACTTTCAACAATACAAAGTGCAACATGTTCAGATGTTCTCTAATCAAAGAATAGTTCACTTTAAACAAAAATATCATTAGTTTACTCACCCTCATACTGTTTTAAACCCGAATGACTATATCTGTGGAACATAAAAGGAGAGGTTTTGCAGAATGCTTACGCTGCTTTTTTTCAACAAGCAAATAACAACCCACTGCTTTCAAAAATTAAATAAGAACACCATAAAAATACTCCATAACCCTATTCGGACTGGACTAGTGTTGTCAAAAGTAACGACTAGAGGCCTGTACTCCCGCGGGAGTACCGCGGGACCCAACGCAACAGGGTGCGGCGTGGTACAACTCTCGACGGGCGAGTGCGGGTGGGAAGAGACTCGTGTGTGTGTGTGTGTGTGTGTGTGTGTGCGGGATGCAGGAGAATAAAATGATTTGCGGGACTCCCGCAAAATAGAAATGATCTAAACATAAATTGTCTAAAACATATAAATTGTTATTTATGTGTTGCACAAAAGCAAAAAGAACAACTAATAACATTAAAATGATTAACACACGCAAGCTAGGCATAGTTTCTATTTATAACACGTGTTTAAAGGGTTGCACAATGTAGCCATTCACAGACTCCGCTGTTGATTTCTGGAACGCAATGGCCAACCAGAGGTGATTAAGTTAGAATCCACTCACCACAGTGCTGAAATTGCGTGCTCACGAATAGTCTCATTTCAACACATGAAGTGTAGACATTGTGAAAGATTCTTTGTGCATATGTTCATTGTGTTATAACAGAGCTTTATGAGATCGCGATGAACTGAGATGTCAGCTTTTAGCGATAATAAAGGAAGCGCTGCTCGCATTCTGCCATGCCAAACCATGCACGCAGCAGCCCATGCTTGCTTTTCTGTTAAAAATAACAGTGGTTTGTGAATGTTGATGCTTAGCCTAAATAACTAATATTTTATTGGGAGCATTTATGCTGGGATGTTGTGGATCATAGGAGATGTTACAAAACCCTTTAATGTAAATTTCTTTGATGTGCTGAAAAAAAATCTATATAGATTACTTTTATGCGGGATTTTGCAGGTGGGAGCGGGACAAAAGACGAATGTTGCGGGCGGGAGCGGGCCTAGATAAGAAATTTTTCTACGGGAGCAGGCGGGTGCGGGACAGAATCTTGCGGGAGCGGGACTGAAAAATCCATCCCGCGCAGGTCCAGTCGGTACTGAAATTTAAAAAATGTCTATTTCCCACAAACATTTGAGCGCTGTTGAATGGCAATCAGCACTGTTTAAGAACATCCGAGAGCTTTCTGACCCTGCATAGACAACAAAGCAACTGAAATGTTCAAGGCCCAGAAAGGTAGCAAGGACATGGTTAAAATAGTCCATGTGACATCAGTGGTTGAACCATAATTTTATGAAGCTTTTGGTATTTGTGTTGCAAAGATGAACAAAGGTCTTAAATGTTTGGAACGACACGAGTGTGAGTAATTAATGACAGAATTTTCATTTTTGGGTGAACCCTTAAAAATAGCCTAGATGGCTTAAAGAACACGGATAAACTATACAGTATATGGTCACAGTCAAGTATTTATTGTTTTCATGTTTTATTAGTTTAAGCATTTCAATCTACTTTTTATTCAGTTAAAACAAAAGCTGGATACCTTTGTCTATATTAGGGATTTCCTGGAACGTGACATCATCAGTTCTATTACTTCTGTGATGCATATTTGAAGTTTCTGCACTAGGGCGCCCTCTGGCAACAAGAACAGACATTACATGTGTTTACAGAGCTCGATAATGTCCACACCAATGATACTTCTATCAAAAGAAATTTGAAGTAGACATATGATAATCCATGTTTTATTAAATGTGGTATTTTCACTTGCTTTCAAATGGAGCAGCATTTACTACACAGAGCCGTAGTTCACTGAGAAGCTACAAAAACAGCTTTCATTATCGCAAACAATTTCTTCGATTTCATAATCATGCGATTATATCATCTGCGATTTTTTTTTTTTGCGTAGCTTGTCAGTGAACTACGGCTCTGTGTAGTAAATGCTGCTCTATCTGAAAGCATGTGATGGAGATTTACTACTAATCATTGATCCGGCTTTACTGACAAGATGCGCATGACAATCACATTCAATTAATCGTGCAGCCCTACTCTGATGTGCCAAGCCAAAATCATGGTATGTATTGAACTGTGGGCTATACTCTTGCATCCCTAATACAGACAGCATCCAATGAAAAATTTTTATGAAATTGAGGAGAACCAAACAGTGGAAACTCCAAAGACTAGCCATATTAACATAAGCATCAGGTAAAATGATTGTCTAGATTTCTCTGCCCAGAGTTTAGAAAACCAGAACCATCCAAATAGGGCTCATATTTCACTGCTGATTATATAAGTCATAAGCACACAAGCTACTCATCTCACCTCAATTCAAAAGTCTCCTGACTAGAGGAACAAACACAGCTGACCTAGAAGCGATGTTCCAATCTTGGTGGTCGAGGAGCCAGCTGTCTCCTTGGAGATGCATGTGTGATGTGCCATGTTCCAATTAGCCCTTTCTTTTTTTTAGTACCTAAACCCCTCCCCAGGAGCAAAGAGACCAGCTACACGCTGTACTGCCTCTGACAAA